TACAAAATTAGGTCAGTGTAACGACATTACTTAAGGGTGTAAAAAATTTACACCCCTGAGCAATTCAGTTATATCAACCTAACCCCGGTGTAGATAGCACTGTGTCCACAGGAGGGCTTCTCCCATCAACATAGCTTGGGGAGATGCTTGGTTAGCGAAGATCCAGAGAATAGGTGGCCTGTGACTGTGGAATTAGGAGAGGCTGGGCGCAAGCACTGGAAGGTCCCTAGAAGTAGGGGGGCATCGGTGCCCAAATCCTGGGACTGCTCCCCCACTCCACCCCCACATTACTCATTCTCCTCACTCTGAGGCCCCACCTGTGCTCCACCCTCACTCCCGTTTGGCCGCTTCCCACCTCCGCTCTGCCTCTTTTGCTTAGGCTTGCTGGTCTGCCTTTGGCTCACTCCTCTCCTCCCCTGAGACCCTCCATACCCACTGCCCCCATCTCTCTTCCCCCTCCCCTGAGACCAGCCCTGCCCACTACTCACACCTCTCTGCCCCTCCCCTAAGACCGGCCCTGCCCACCACTTGTACCTCTCTGTCCCTCCCCTGAAACCCACCCTGCCCACTGCTCTCACTTCTCTGCCCCTCCCCTGAAGCACCTGCCCTGCCCACCTCTTTCTTCATGCTGCCATTGTTATTCCATGAAACATCAAGGATGGAATAAAAAGCTGAGTTTACTCCAGGGTGAGAAAAGAAAGGAGCCACCAACCCCCTGGCAAAGCTCAGTGCCCAAGAGAAAACCTGCCCCCTGCTATTGCAATCACTGATGTGCTGGGGATATGATGGGAAAGGGACTGTCTGAATTATCAAGGCAGGAAATGGACAACAATATACAGCAACGTCATTAACCACAAACACACTCTCATCATTCTCCAGGCGGTAGGTAAATGAGCAGGAATTCTTGCTGTTCAGCCACAGACACACTTACACAATGGCACAGCAGTGAGTGTGCTGTGGAAGCTGGTCTGAGGAAATAATTGGAAATAATCACTCAGTGAGAACAGAACTAGAGTGTGGTTAGAAAGCTGTATAAAGTAAGTAGCTGTGGCTGAGTGGTTAAGGTGCTGGACTAGCTCCATTGGGGTCTCCCTAGGCAAGTTTGAATCCTGCCAGCTATGGAGGAAGTTGTGGTTCTTTAGTTTCAGTGCCTGAGCATCTTTGGTGCCAATAGGAGCTGGGTCTTGTCTCACTCTCAGGCCATATCTACACTACAGAGTTATGCTGCTTTTGTTAAAGCATTTTAATTAAACTGCTGTTGCGTGTCTACACTAGGCTGCTTGTGTCACCAGAGCACATCCATGCTAGCAGATCTTGGATCACCACAGAGAGCAGTGCACTGTGGGTAGCTATCCCACTGTGCAACTGGCTGCAGGGTGCTTTGGGAACGGTTTGCAAGTTTCGCTATCCCATTGTGCCTTGGACATCCTACTAGAGTGCCAGCTGCTTTTCAACTGCAGTGTGTGTGGCGGGCAGAAAGTGTGTGACAGAGAAAGTGTGTGTGAGGGGAGAGACAGTGTGTGTGTTGGGGGAGTGTGTGTGTTGCGGAAGAGTGAGTGTGTGGGCACACTGTCTCTAAGTTCAGACAGCTGCGGGAAGCAACCAGTCCTGAGTCAGGGGGAGGGGGACAGCCCCAACATCAGCCCCCACTTTCCTCACTAGCTCAGCACAGTACAGCAGTCTTTCTCTCTCACATATACATATACACACACACACACACACTGCTGCCTGCCTAGCTCTATGTCAGGGGTGCCAGAACAAGGGGGTTTAGAGGGCCATGGCCCCACCACTTTTTACCTGCTGTAAGGATGAACAATAGAAGGGGACAAGGCCGAGTCTTGGGGGGGAAGAGGTGTTCTGTTGGTGGGAGGGTGGGGTCTCAGGGAGAAGGGGCAGTGTGGTGTGGGGTCTCAGGGAGAAGGGGTGGAGTGAGTGAGGGGTCCTGGGGAAGGAGCATCATGGGGGCACCACAGTTCGGACACCGATGCCCCCCCACCATGAGGAAGCTCCCGCCACCTGCTCCGTGTTGGTAGTGCGGGAGAGAGCAGCATTCCACGGCAGTGATTTGCTCCTTGCTGATGGAGCAAAGCAGCAGGCTCAGCTGTCAAAACTTCCCAGAGCGATGAAAGGGGAAGGGCCCAGCCTCTGTAGCAGGAATGCAGGGCAGGCGAGTTCACGGCGGGCATTGTGGGATACTGGCGGAGGCCAGTTATGGTGATATAATGACGAGCAGCATTTACACTCACATGTTGTCGATTTAAGTCTGCTGCAAAAAGCTCTCGGCCTCTCATCAAGGTGGTTTTATTTTGTCACCAAAACAGGGCAGTTTTGTCTCCAGACCTGGCATTGCAGTGTGTACACCAGCCAAAAGCTGCCAACCGAGGGAGCGTAGTGTGTTTTTCACACACCTGAGCAATATAATTCTGCTGAAATAACTTTGTAGTGCAGCCCTGGCCAAAGATTCACACACAGACAGCTTGCAAGGAAAACTTCACCTGCTCCTCCGCTTTGCAGAATCCAAACACATAAGCAAAGCTTGTCAGGCCCGGGTGGGGTCTGGCAAGAAGTTAGGTGTGGGCAGACACCATGCTTTAACTACTAGTAGGCACCATAGCTTAGCTGGCTAAAGCACCAGTGTAGTAAACAGGAGATCATGGGTTCAACTCCCACTGGTGCCTTGTTGTTTGGCTTTGGGGGCACCTGCTATCGGATACTGTCAGAGAACAAAATACAGAGCTAGATGGCCCTTTGGTCTAGCCCAGTATGGTTGTTCTTATGGTTTAAATTACACTCACGGGCACTGATAATAGAGTTACTGAAAGTTTGGGAGTTAAGAGCTGATAGGTCAGTGTTCCAAGACCCTTGCGGATGACCCCCTCCCTCTGGGACAGGGGCAGGTCTGAGCTCTCACTCCAAATGGCTCATTGTGGCTGCCAGAATCTGTGGGCAGCTCATTTAGTTTACACCCTGGGTTGAGTCCTGCTTTGTACACTGTGTGTGAGAATAAAAATCCTAAACCACCCTTTGAAATAACAAATGCATCAGGACATGTTATTGTCCCTGCCCCAAAGCAGAGACATCAATTGAGAACTGCCACTGAGTCCAGGGTGATACTCCACTGCCATTTTACCTTTTTTGCTTATTAAACTCGCTCCCAACCTTGTGGGGCCCCAGAGCCTGGTACTGAGCCTGAGCCGAGATGTCTACACTGCAAATTTACCACCCCACAGCCCAAGCCCCGGACGCCTGAGCTGGCATGGGACAGCCCTGAGTGTTGCATTGCAGTGTGGACATAGCCTAACATTATGTCTACACTGTCATAAACACACCCAAGTCACTATTCTCAAACCCTGGGTCAGTTGATTCAGGCTTGTGGGGGCTTGTGCTACAGGGTTTTAAAATTACAGTGTAGACACTCTTGAGCCCAGCCTCTGAGAGTCCATGAGGGGTGAGGGTCTCTGAGCCTGGGCTCCAGACTAAACCCAAATGTCTACACTGCAGTTTTTAGCCCCACAACCTGAGCCCCAAGAGCCCAAGTCCAGGACAGCTGGGCCACAGGACTTTTATCACAGTATAGATGCACTCTCACAGTATGTCTACTGTAAAGCAAGGGGTAGTAGAAGTCATGTCAGCAGCCCCAACACATAAACATAAACAACGAGGAAAAGACCCACCCCCAAATAAGCTGGGCAGTGTCCTTTTCCCTCAGGTTGTTAAGTCCAGCAACCAAAAGTCCTTTACCATGTGCTCTCCCCTCTCTGCTCCCTACTCACAGTTGTTGTCCTTAGTCAGTGCAATCCCAGAGATGCATTTGTAGAGTTCACCTCCCATCCTGGGTGGAAAAGGGGGAAAATAAGAAGGCGCCGTACTCACTATGTTGTCTAGGGACTCACTCATCCCTCCACAGCCAGCCTGTCCTAAATTTGGTCTAACACCTAAATTTTAGTATTAGGACCCAGACCCCGGCCCACTTGGCTTTGGAACCCATGTCCCCTGCCTAGCAAGTGCTATTGAATTGAAGGTAAGTCCCTCAATCGGGGTCTGCCATGCACAGTTCTGCTGCCCTCGCTTAACACAAGGATAACAACCCTTTATTTCTCCTGCCCCAATTACAAGGAGACTGGGAATCCAACACAACCCAAAAGTGATCATTTCGGTAAGCAATCCAACATATTTCCAACATACTGTAAAATCCACATGCAGACTCATACAGGAAACCTTGCAAGAAAAACTTCCTGAAGTGGTCTGAAGCACCTGCTGCTGGAGGGAAGGAGGAAGACATGGGTTAGGACTGAGGAGCTCTGTTAAAAGGAGGGGACTGTGGGTTGGGATTGAGGGGCATTGGGAATAGCAGGGGGCTGTGGTTGGGACAGAGAAGGGTGAAGAGGACTAGGCTCTGGTTGGGAGTGAGGAGCAGTGTGCATAGGAGGGCCTGGTGGGTTGGGACTAAGCGGCACTGGGAATAGAGGGGACATGGGTTTGGGCTGAAGAGCATCCTCGTTTAGGGATCCAGCAGGCCAGGGGAAGGCAGCAGGTGATTCTAATTCCTTAAGGCTATTCTGTGGGTTTGTGTGTGTGTGTGGCGGGGGGAGGCAGGGCCGGCTCCAGGCACCAGCCCACCAAGCTTGTGCTTGGGGCGGCACC